GAGAGAGAGAGAGAGAGAGAGAGAGAGAGAGAGAGAGAGAGAGAGAGAGCGATAAATCTGAAGGTAGCCTAATCCGACCAAGAATTACGATCTTCGTAGAAGTACCTACCATTGGAAATTTGGCGAAGAAACTTTGTCCCGCGACATTCTGCCGAGTTTCATGATGGTGTAAAAGATAAAGAGTAGTTATTGGCTAAAGTGGCGAGTAGAGAAATGCAGCGAATAATTTTGCATTTCATTGCATTGCGCTCAAATTGTTGCAGATGATTCCTCGTTTGACGAGTGTTATTGAGATATTGAAATACCTCTCGGATTATAGTGCTTGAATTCGACGAGAAAAATGCTGTGAAAAGAAAAAAAACTATTTATTCGTTGTCAATTCCAAGAATTTTTTTTAAATTTACAATATTTGGAATTAAATAAGATGTTGACGATACGTAACGTTTCAACGATTATACCAATATTTATTTTTTCAATCAAAATTGCACACAGAAGGAATTCCTTTATTTTACTCATTTTGCAAGTCTTGTGTACGTGAATTCATTGTCTTCGTAAGTAAAAGAAATTATTTTTGTTCTACACACAATAGAAATTTTAAATCATTTTATGATTTCTAATAAATTTTACAAAAAATTACGGATCTATAAACATTGATTGATTCTGTAGCAGAGAAGAGTTAGCATTTCTACAACGTAGAAAATACATCTTTGCATAAAAGTATACTATCCGCATTTTTTACTGGATAGGAACCATGCACGAAAAATATACGCGACATATACTTGTGCTATCCACCCACGTTCATCCCATTGCTACGCTCGGCCACTCACTTAATTTATCATAACTCCTTCCGAGTTCACTTCTCCGGCCACCGCTTCGCCTTCTTGCCCTCCCCTTGTCATTTTTCTTCTTCTTTTCTATCATTAACGAATTCCCTACTTGCTTCCATCACTCATCTTTCTCTTTCTCTATTCTTCGGCTTGATCTTCGACATGTCTTGCGAGTTTCATTAAGTCGACACTGTCAAGAAACATTACATCGTAGAAAATTCAATATGTCTAGCGAATTTTTATGAAATTCGATTGCAATGTCGAAGTTACGAAAAATCTTTTCTTTCGCTATTTGATACAATATACATCGGTAAACGGTAAACGTATATATGTAGATTTTCATGTCTGACTTCTTTTCTTGTTTGTGCTTATTTTATATATTGTATATGACACAGATACATTATATAATTTGACATTATCGTGTTATTTCTTTCTTTTATCTCTTTTTCTGTTGCTTATCTCAATTTTTATTTTTTTTCGATAAATGAATAAGTTTCGTGTCATTTGCAATACATTTCGTAAAACTGAACATAGGGGTTTATCGTTATAGGAAAGATCCGATAACTCATACTGTATTCTTTCAATTGAATGTATGCAATGAGGTAGCAACGTAAAATGCATAGTGAAATATTTATAACTGTTATTAATTTATTAACTGTCTTTCTTTTACTTTGATGAAAATATAAATTGTGTGAGATTTTCATAATTAATAAGGAAAAGTATCAGGATATATGAAACGATTATTCATTGAAGCGAAATAATTCTAAGTTATTTTCGATGGGAAAATCATAAATTATAAATTGTAGAAAAAAATTTAATGTTTTAATCTTTGATCTTTTAGTTAATTAATTAATTAAAGTTATTTTTTTATTAAGAGATAATAATTAGAAATAAAATAATTTAAAAAATAATCTTGCTCTATAATTCTCTATAAATTCTCTACAGTTTGAATTTTACCGCATGGCTTCACTAAATTATGTCATTTTTAGTTATTTTTACAAAAGGTTTGTGTGTGGAGCGCTGCTGCAATTCATGTCAGTAAAAATCGAACTTGTCGCCACAATATGTTACCTCCTCTTCATAAACTACTTTAATTAAATGTCCGTGTGAACTTTATCGTCGCGCAATCGCGTATAATACCCGCTTTAATAATACCATGCATGATAGCAACGACGAATTTGACAATCGTTCAATTCTCGTTAAATACGCGAACCGTATTGCCAGGTGGCTATGGTTAAAGCCGATCTCTGAAAAGCGGGTGAAATCTCCCCGCCCGCTAATTAGAGCTTTCACTCCTCTTATGACCAGTCAACCTATATATTTTCGCGCACAATCGATGAGCGGCCGCAATTTTCTCTGTCAAATCTCCCGTTCTTTGACGAGGTCGATAAGTCACACGTGATGTGGAATTTTATGAAGTGCGATCGTGACTTCAAATCGGAGTGTGCGAAAATATATTCTCGCAATGTGTAGAATATGCTACGTATTTATCAATAAAGAAAATAAGCACGACTTCTCCATCGCAATGTATTCTAAAGACAGTCACTGTCAAGATGCCAGTTTCACTCATGTGAAAAGTACTTACGTTGAAGAAATTTGAGTGTCATATATATTTTTAATGGCGGAAAGAGAGAAAGAGCTCAAGAGAGCGCTTGGAAAACAGATATGTACATTCGTTAATAAGCTGCATCTCACAATTAGTCTCACAATTACTGGGAAAGATTCTTATTTTTTTCGATCTTTTTCGAATAACAAACATGAATTTTGATTTTAGCATTTTACGAGTGCAATAAAAATCAAATTAATGATTTATTTGAATCGTGAATGAAATTTAACGAAAATATGAACTGTAATTTATCAAATACAATGGATATCCTTCATGCTTCTATATGGCTAAAAACCGGTTGTGCTGGTTCAGTATTGCTATAACGACTTGCTGAGATGTAAAGAGAGCATAAAAAGATTAGAAAAGTTTGCAGTCATTAACTCGTACAACATTCGAAAGACGAATATCATTCTTGTCATTTGACTAATTATCGGCTCTGATTTCTAAGAAGAGCCAGTTTTGTACGGTGAACGTATATCCAACGCTTTATCATTCGTTGTTATCTTCGCTTTCATCTGATCGAGTGCAATTCTATTTACACGACAATCTAGATTTTTTAGTTATCATTATGTTTGCATTAGCATAATGTGTGATTGTGAATGTGATTTTTAGATTAGGCTGTCAATGATGTTTTTCGTCCACACGCCGATAAAACCGGCTGATTTGACGTTCCTATTTCACATCAGTGATGGCAATTTGTACTTTCGCGATACACCGTTGCTACACGCAATTACCCTTCATCTCCAATAGGATAATCTCAATAGAATAAAGTGTTTACTTTTACTCTTGCATATATGTATCACTATTCCGGTAGAGGAGATAATGGACACGATAATCAATCCAAATTTCGATGTCACAGTGTGCCACAACGCAACGTGTCATTTTCTCTGGAGAAATTAATGTGTTAATTGTCTTATTTATCATGCTTATTAATAATTTTTGTTATCATAATAATACTTGTCAATGGGTTTCTACACTTATTTAGTTGAATTTTCGAACTGATCTGATCTGTGATATCTTCTCGAAGAAAATATTGAATTTTATCAAAATACAGTATCATTACAAAATTATGAGATTTTATAAAGAAATCTATAACTGCAGAGAGTAATGTATTCATTTAAAATTAAAGTATATGTTTTTTATTGTAGCAGAACATTGCATATTTAAAGAAAATTAAAAATTTCGGTGTTTCTCTATTTCTGTTGCACTAGATGTTTAATTACGAAATTAATTGTTTTATTTATATTATATTTGCAAAAGAAATTTAGCGTTTTTCATTTAAAATGCATGTTATAGCACAAACTTCAAAAGAGATTGAACTTTTGAAGCAATTATAAAAGTTTACAATAATAATAATAATAATAATATAGCGAATATAATTACTATAATTATCAATCTATAATAATTAAAATGATACTAGATAAGAAATATGATAATTTATATTTTTATATCCTTCTCTTTCTCTCTCTCTCTCTCTCTCTCTCTCTCTCTTTTTATTAGTTATCGATTAGTGAATTGCAGATACAACATGCAGATGCAGCCGCGCATCCCATGATCTCGTCTCGACAAAGCGGTAACTTAAGTCTTAATAATCGTACGTTTCTCGACGGTAATGTCTTAGCGAAGAACGCTTTTCATGGATATGTTTGCAATGTTCGTGTAATCCGACGAAGAACATTCGCCTTAATCTTCTAGATTTCATGGTGTGTGTGAAACCCTGATTTCATTATCCATTGTCGACACAAGTTTTCACTCTATTGACCTCGCTCACCTCGCTGACCTCGCCGTAGGTGTATGTATGTAACATGCCAACATCTATCAGGATTAAATCGCGCAATTAGCCTTATAACTAAGTTGTTTAATAGAATGACGTCATGACGTGCGTGAAGATTATTGAAAACAAAAAGTATAAATAAACAAAACTTTAACGCATTATTATACAATAAATATAACGAATACGAGTAATAAAGGTCTTGACTGAATTTCACGTTAAAAGAAACATCATTTTATGCTACTAATTAGCGTTATATCTGTTAAATGTGACACAATTAATTTATCCGTATTCTCAACATTGTTACAAGTTTGGTTTCTGTTATGTTTTGTTTAATAATTCCTTGTGTAATATTAACGTGCCACTTATTATTGTATATGAA